GCAGTCACAGCCTGAGCATTAGCAGACACCCCACTGGGACTTCTGAATAGGACTGATTGCTGATGCTCCAGCTGCAGTAGGGCAGCAAAACCTTAGTAAGATGTTATGGGAAACAGAGGATGTCTCATGTCGGAGAAGACTTAGAGAGGGCAGTGTGATAACCTTACCAAAGCAAGGGCTGTTCTTCACAACTATATCTGGATGGTACAAATATATCTGAATGGTAAATAACAGCTGCAGAAAAAAGGGCCACTTAAGCCTAAAGATCATTGATTGCACAAGTAAATTTGGATGTGAAATTAACGAGTCTAAAATCAGATGAAGGGTGGATTTTTCCTTCTAGAATTGAGACTCCAGAAAAGCCCCAAATAAGCATAATATAGCAAAGAGAAAAAAAAATAAGACCTCTGAAGACAGAACTCCAGACATTTACTTAAGGATTTGTATGGTGCAGTGATTCAAGAGATCTGGTCTCATTGGGTCTTTCTGATGCTAAACCAAAGGCAGCAAAGCACAGATCTGAACTTTCTGCTCCAGCAAGGTTAAGGGGGCTGTTCCCTGGCTGCAGCAGCAACAGTGACAAGGGCTCCTTCCTGCAAGAGCTACTGAGCTTCTGAGCTCCTGGCTTCTTATCCCAAGGTCAGGCTTCCACCTCAGGACATAAACCAGTTTGCAGGCACTTATCAGCCAATACTGAGGACCTTATGTGAGTTAAAATGGCAGCTGAGCAAGGTTTATGAACACCAGTGGCATCCACATATTGAACTTAAGCAGCCCTTTAGTGAACATAGCTCACAGCAACCCCCAGGCTCCCTGTGCCTTGCCTAAGTCTACCCCTGCAAGGGATAATCAAAGTTAAATGATTCTGTTAGGCAGGGTCAAGGGTTCAAAGGACTATTCTGGTCCCTGCAGTCCTGAGGTGTGTGTGGTAAAGAGTAATTGTATGGATTTGGTTACTCTAAAACTTGAATACGTACAGTTAATTTTGTGTTTTGTTAATCAAATCTCTATGCACAACTAAGTTGTTATGCAGTTGTCTCCCAGGGCTTTTATTTTATATTTATTTGTGTATTACGAACAGAGCCAATTTTAAGCCAAAATGGTAAATCTGTTCTCTTTAATTTTTGCCCTTTCACACCAGTCTTCTGAAAACTGTAAGTGCAGCATGATATAGACTCTATTGTATCTGCTTTAGGAGAGGAGCAAGTGATAAATTACTTGCCCAGGAAGAGGTGAGGTTATTAATCAAAATGGCTTCAGGGTGTAGTGTTTTGAAGTGTCGAGTAATAAGTAACAGGTGAAAGGGAGGAGGTTTTTCCTTTTGCAACCCTAAATCTGACCTGTTCAATAACATGAAGCAGATAGCCAGGTTGTCACAGGGAAAAAAATAATCTTTGTGAAGAGACAGTGTAAATTAACACCTTCAAATCAAAATCATGACTTAAGGGCTGCCTTGTGTTTCTTTTCATAGTAAACAATGACACAGTTTGGTCTCCTACACTGCTCACAATGACTTGAATGGCAGGAGTTGAATGCCTGTAGTCCACTGAAAGTTACACCCCTTAGTACCTCGTGATAAAATTAAGGTTTTACTTCGCATTCTGAGATTCTCATTTCTAGCTTTATTAGTTTCCAAGTAACCATCTCATCCACTGCTGAGCTATGCTGCCAAGTAATGCAAGTTGTGGGAGTGCATCTAGATAACTACATCCAGTTTCGGTCCCCACAAGACAGACAATGGCAAACTGAGGTGAGCTCAGCTGGGAGCCACCAAGATAGTAGAGAACTACAGCACTTGCCCTGCAAGGAGAGACTGGGGGAACGGGGCTTGTTCAACCTAGGCATGAGATGGCCTTGAATGATGGATCGGTCTGTAGAACCTACCAAGAGCTCATCAAGACAGCAGAGGCTCTTCAGCAGTACACAGAAGGAGGACTAGAGACAACAGGCATAAACTGAAACTGGGGCCTTTCAGACTGGATATAAGGAGAAACTTCTTCACGATGGACAGTCAAGCAGGACAACAGCTGGCCCAGAGAAGTTGTGCAGTGTCCATTCTGGGGAAAACTCAGTGGTTTTCAAGACCAGAGTACATAAAGCATTGAATATCCTGGTCTGGCTTCACAGCTAGCCTTGCTTTGAGCAGGGAATTAAAACTACAGGCCTCTCAAGATTACGTCTGAACTGAATGATCCAGCAACTCTGTAAGAAGCTCCCCATCCACCTACCACTAATCCACAGGGAACATCAGCACTGTAGCATCCCAGTATGTAGTCAGAGAACATGAAAGCAAAAGGTTTCACAAAGTTGAACTCCACTGCAATAAGACAGAAAATCCTGGGGCTTTCTCCTCTTCTTGCTCTGTTTATCAGCAGTGTGCTACAAACTGTGCATGTTCAGAAAAAAAAATGGTGGAAGGAAGGGAGGGAAGATGAGAAGGATCAATTTTTACAGCTTTATCCTTTCCTGTGGCAAATAAAATACTGCTCTTCTTAGAAGATACACCAGTAAATTCTCAGTTGAGATTTGCGTACTAGGAAACAGGACTCTCCTGACAACCTTTGGAGATTACTCCAAGGCTTAAAAGATTTCACACTCTAACAGTTCCCCCAAATACTCTGACTACATGTTTCTTTTGTCAGTCTTATCCTAATACAGTACTAGATAAGTCCTCTACCTCCAGGCTATTTACACTTGCCAGAGAACTGAAGACTGTTATGCCACACAGACAATTAGAAAGATCCAATTCTTTTAATCTTTCCTCAAATCCACTGTAACAACAAAACCCTGTTTGTATTTCTCGCCATAATATCACGATGGGTTTCCCTTTCTATGGATGAGGTCCCAGTACTGACTGCAGAATAGCAGGTGTGCTCTCATCCCAGTCAGAGTGTAAACAAGCCCATTCAAACTGTTCAATTCCCTTGCACACAAAACTCTCAAATTGCATGTTTTCTTTTCAAGGCTACAATGGCAAGAATTAGAAGGGGCCTTGTCTGTCCTCTCTTCATGAGCTCAATCCAAAGTCTCTGGCATCAGTAGAAATAGTCTCAATCACTTGGAGGGTCTTGGATCAAGTACCAAATCACAAAGAATAAAAGCAAGGAGAAAACGAAGCATTAAGTTCAAATGCAGCTGCCTGGAATTCCTGCCTTGAAGTGGTAACAGAGTGACTTTGAGGGTAGGCGGAAGGATTTTTAAAATTAAAAAAGAACAGAATGAAGAGCATGTTCTAATTTTCTAATAAAAAAAAAAAAAAAACCCACTTCGGAAAATATTCTGTGAAACTGTTTTGAATTAACTTATTTATTTGGTCTAGGGAACATTCCACTCACATTCACCAGAAGAATGAAAACCTGACTGTCACAGTATTTATTTACTTCAATGTTCTCTTACTAAACCGGAGTTTACTGGTGTCTTTACATGACATACAACTTCTCAGGCTGCCTGCCAAATGATGAAAACTAAACAGATCAATGTGAGGAGGGTCAGCCCACTCAGGTATTTCACAAGTAACAAAGATTGTAGAGTATGTAACAGCTTTATCCTCACTGAGATAAAGTCAGCATCTGACTTCACTAATGTCATAATTTGCACATGGCTGCTACCTGAATGCTAACAGAGCAAGAGGTTATATACAGTGTTCATGATGTGCCAACATACTTAACCAAAGCCTGTGCTATGTGTATGCAGCTAGAACAAAGCCTGATTGCATGTGTAATACATGCATTATGCTCCTTGGCTAGTGTGAGCCAACTGTTTTCCTGTCAGACAGCTTTCACCCAGAAAGGTATATACTGAGAATTCATAGCTACACTCTTCTCATTCACAGAAGGTCTTACAATCATTCTGTGTTACCATGATAACCTGGGAACTGACTGTTCTCAGTAGGCCTGGTGTATCACAAGACTCACGCTTTCTCTGGACCAGGTCATTAATCATTTGCTGTGTGACAAATTCTTCTAAAATCAAAACACTCAATCTAAGGCACATGTCAAAGAAAAGCCACCTCCCTGTCTTCCCAGATGTTTCACTAATGCAGAGCCTAGTATAGTTACAGTATGACTAAGAAGCAGAAAAAAAGCTTTTCTATGCTCTTATCTTCAAAACGGTCCAATCAGTAGAGCTGAACCAAAAGAAAATACTAAAGAAAAGCAAGAAGTGAACTGAAAAGGACATCTTGCAGTTTATAATAACAAACCAAACAAACACTGCTCTGCTGGCTTTGTAAATCTTACAGAAAAGCTTCTCCTTAGCTCAGGCTGTCTATTTCTTAAAAAAAAAATAAAGAGAAGCAGAACTAGCTTCAGGCAAATAAGTATATCAGCATTTGAATTCATGCTTGTATAGCCTTGAACAAAAAAACTCTCTTAAAAGCAGCCTAAGGAGCTTCCTCAAATGTATTCTGGCAACACTTATTTGAGGCTTGAAGATTTCAAATGTCTTTACAGTTCCCTAAAAACAAACTGGAAAATGTTAAAAAAAAAAAAAAAAAGCCCACAGATGGCTGCCAATTTCAAAACAGGATGTTTTTGTTGTCGATGACTGCAGTTAGGACCAGCGACCTTGAGAATGTAAACAACCCATCCATTACCTCTTCTCTTCTAATCACTGTTGCAAATATTTTTTTTCACTCTTTATAAACTTGGCTGAATGAGTAGCTTAGTGCTCATACTCAGGCTAAGACCAGAAGTTCCACAGGACTCAAATTACTAGCACTGAATGTCACCAGCTAGTTGAAGGGAAAAGGAAGGGAGGAGGAGGGAAGTATTTAGTATATGGCTAGTGTTTTAAACTCAAGGTAGCTGTCATGAGCAGATAGAAAAAGCAAGACAGAAAAGACACCCCTCCAAGAAACGCATTACAAGTAATGCTGAAAAAAGATCTGCTGTCAGGAGATAACCCTACCAAGTGCTCATACTTCTGAGACAGCAAGGAGGAAACTGCAGTTTTCCCAGCAGCTAACCCTGCAGTCAGAAACCTGACCCCTGAGTCCTTACCTTCTGGTGTCCAAATTCATTCAATATTGTGCCCAGCTTCTTCGTGTTGCTGTGAAGTTTATGAGCAGCAATGGCTGGATTGGGATCCCTCCAGTCAATGGACAGGCGATGATACCAGAGGTGCCGACCCTCCTGAATGTGTGCTGACTTGATGCTGGGGTCAAAGCGATGCACCTCGCATCCACTGTTGGCCATGCTTGTCTCAAACTGGTTGTCATCGTTGCCTAGCCTACAAAAGCAGAAAGATTTAACCATTAATGCCACAAAAAGAACTAGGACATTCTGATGATTTACAGTAAAATCCAACGCCTCTGTTTCTGAACCAAAGTGGAAGATCTGTTGTGCTCCTTCTTGGGACAGATCCACAGTACTGAACATAATGTAACCCTAATTCTGATGAGGTAACCAGAAATAAAGCTAATGGTCAACACTAACAGCTACTGAAGATTTGGAATAAGTAGTCAGATAAAGGAAAGTTAAAGGAACATGTGTTATTTTTCCCCAATGTCACATTCATAACTGACCTTAAGAAACTTTTAATGACATTGGTAATTTATAGAATTAAACTACCGAAGTGAATGGGCTGAACTAACCTCACTAGAAAATTCAAGCTATATACTGCATACAGTCAGAATGAACAGCTCCTTTCAAGGCAAGAACTAATCCACTTTTAGCCAGGTTGATAACCTTCCCAAGAGCTTCTTTGTAATTCAGAAGCTGACATCATTTATAAGAAAGTAAATTAAAAGTTAGACCCTTTGTGCTGTTATTATTCACCTATTCATATTTTTTCTCTCTATATATTCCTCTATTTTCAATTTGCTTTTTCTTGACAAGATTACAACTTCCCTTAGTCCCCACTGCACTGATTTCCAATGACCAAGCCATAAGCAGAAGAACAAATACATTTAAAATTTATACAATACTGACACAAGAACGACATGCCTCTCTTTCTCTGAGCACAGGAAGACACAGATAAAAAAGGAAAATCTAAAAATGACTCCTTCACAACAGTAACAGAGTTTTTACGCAACTTCAGAGAAAACTGCTGCTAATTTGGCAAAGACCCCACAGAAGAGGAAAAATTAATAGCCTCATCGTACAGTGGCATGGGCTCAGTCCCCATCCCTGGAAGAAGATGTACTTTACAAGGCTATGCCATATTCCCACTTCCTACAGCCAGCTGGTTCACAAAGGGTACATTAAAACTAAAAAATTCTGGTATTTACCATTATAACCACGTCTGGACCACAGGCCTCTGCTACTGCGTAAAATAGGATGTCCTCCTCATTCCTGCTCCTCCAAGCTTGTTCCAAACATGGTTCAAATCATGCACTAAACCTTAAACTTAACCTAAATTACGCTAAATTATACACACATGTAGTGCTGGGAAGAGACTCAAGATTTTTAAATCAGCACTTCAACAAGTTGTTCTAATTGAGAATATCTATTATGTACTAACAGCATGGCATTTATCTATCATACACAAACCATTACACGGTACTACTGTTAGTCATACTGTCAGAGCACCTGCTACACTACACCACAGTTATCCTAAGCAATGGTGCGAGTCTAAAATCTATTTGCATCAACCTGTAAAACACAATACATTTTAAATCATGATACACTATGGTACGACATTAAACCAGCACTAAACATTTTCCATAAATGACACACGGATAAATTAAAATGAATCCAACTCATGAAACAATGTTTGGAAGAACATATGTTTTGGAAGTTTCCAGTATGGTATGACACTTGCTGTGATACTGGCTAAGCACAGTGTAATGGTGCCTTATTAGAAGGTCTTCTCCTCAACCACCTTCCCCTTCAGGCATCCTGGGAAAGCAGGAGAAGACAGAGTTTGCAGAAACAGCTTTTAAGAACTCTATTTCACATGATTCCAGCCTGCACAGCTGCGTAGGAGGAAAAGAGAGGAGTTTCCTTTTAATAAATTCAACACACATTAGTAAAAAGTTCAGAAGTTAACCAAGTGAATTGACATATTCACTTGCATGTGGCTTTCTACAAAAGGGACACTGATGGACAAAGACCAGTGTAATCCCTTAGGAATGAGAAGCTGGCTAGAAATGAACATGTGAATTGTTGGGGACAGTTACAGCATTAGTGATGAGCCTACCATCGACTGACAGCCACATGTGCCCGTGACACACTTCAAATCATACCAGCTGGTACAACATAGAGGACCAGATGCTTTTGATGTAGACAAACCTCAGGCCGCCTCCAAACAGACTGCTACTCACGTGGACTGCAAAGAGAGGTTCACAGTGGTGCAAAACAGGAAAAAAAATAATGACAGTGAAGAAGGTGCTGATACATCTTCTGTCACTCTAGCTAACAGCTCAAATTTATGCCTGAGGAGAGATGTAACCAACAACAAATATTTAGGAGAGAAAATGAGGTCATCTCCAAAAGAACTGGCTCACACGTGATCATGCTAGGGGATAACACAGCGTGAAAAGAGGCAAACAAATGAGGTCTCCTAAGAGAGGTTTTGTGTTACTTAAAAAGGGACTGTGATTTTAAAAGAAAGGCATGGAGTTCACACACAGAAGACTGGAGAGGCCTTTCCCCATCACCAGGAGAGAGCAGCTGCTGCCTCCAGCAACAGCAAAATAAAAAAATGCTAAGTACACTGACCTATTTTTCCTGTAAAGGAGAAGGGAGATTGGGTACAGTCGGTAGTTGCATTCAGTCCCCTGCAATGGGAGCAGAGGTGCTGCTTTCAAAGCAGCAGAGGGATGGCTCTCCTAGTCTGCGTGCCAGTGGGAAGGAAGGGCTTGCTGGCACTGCTCCCATCCAGCAGCAGGGCAGGGATGCTGACCAGGACAGAGCGCAGCACCACAGGGAGCAGTGTCTCTTGGCTGTCCCCTCTCCCAGGGTTCACAGGGTCGCAACACACAGAGCCTCCCACTTGGAATAAACACTGGGCTGCAGCTTGCACTGAACTGGAACATCACACTGGCCCCCACATCACCCTGGAGTGCAGCCAGCATGCAGGTAGCACAAAAGGTGCTTTGTCTCCTCCAGCACAGCTCTAGGAAACACCTGTAGCTGATCCAGCCTGATAACTGCAGATACTCCAGCTTGCACAAAGACCACAGGACAGAGCTGTAGAAATATGCATGTTAAAGTGCACCTTTCCCTTTATGTGTTGTTTCTCCTCCTCTTCTTTCTCAAAGGAAGATAACCAAGCTCTGCAGAGTGGGAAAAAAGAAGCATCCCCTGCCTGGATCCTAAAGCCCCTACATTTTAAGATCCACCTGAAAGGGCGTTTATACAGTACTGCAGCAAGACCCTAAAGCTTAACTGGTAAGTTTGTGAAATCCTATTTATATTATCCCAGCTTGAGTGCCTGCCTGTGGTGTTTGTAACAGATTTAGCTTAATCTAAGCAGATTTAGCACTAATAACTAGAGCTCACTAATGCATATTGCAATTATGTATCATACTGGGAAATCCTGTCACCCAAGCAAAAACACTGCTGCCTCCCAGTAGTGGAAGCAACTAATACTAATTCAAAAAGATCTCCAGATGTTTCAGACACTTCTCACCCCCATTCACAAGTAACCTCTTCCACAGAAATGCCTAGGCAGTATGAATTGCTCCAGTTTTAATGATACACGGATTTAATTCGGGATTCCCAGTAACATTCACATTGAACTTTCACATTTGTCCTCCATCCATCCTCTCTACAGAGAATGTTCCTCATTGGAAGCAGCTGCTCCCCCTTCGCTCTTTACGAAGTATATGAGACAACGAAAATGTTTAAAGGGGATTTTTGTCTTACTTGGAACAAGATTACTTTTCTGCCTGTCATAAACTAAAGGAAATGAGTCGGAGAGAATTGTGCTCCAAAGGCTGCAGAAGTAAACTGGAGGATTGAAGACTGCTCCTCCTTAACCTCAAATATTTTCCTTTTATTTTTTTAGCTGCTTCATGTGATGCATCATGGTTGGGTATTTACTGCACATGTGTGTCTGATGATTGTTGTGCCAACAATTTCAATCTCTGCTAAGCCCTACTGTTCCATCAGTACAGCAAATCTGTCATTCAGGATCCCTGCAGCATACCTAAACCAGCACAACATACAAAGCACTGTATAATACATGCGCTAGCTCAAGTTTGTTAAAAAACATTAGAAAGTTACCTTTGTGCTGGTCAGCTCATGACAAATCTGCATTTCCTAGCACAGATGAAGTCAACTTTGCATTGTGCCAATTGGCTAATCCAACAAAAATAACCATTCTCAACCCACACTTGGTCTATAGCAAAAAGGAAAAGGGACATTAATACAGGAGCTCAGGTCTAATATTAATGGTCGTGTAACTTGAAGGGCAAGGGCTAGATTAATTCTACTAAACTCTGGGTACATTGCCAAGACATCTAAAGCCAGCAGCCACATTATCTCAGACTTCCTCTACAATCAAAGGAAAGCTGTACCTACCTTCAAAATGTTATTTAGCTTAGCTGATTTTCCACCTGAATGTGCCTGCCTCTCCCTGCTGACTACTAGGAGCCTCAGGCAGTTAGCCAGTACTACAGCCAAGCAGGTATATCTGAACCTTAGCATGGACAGGTCTCTCCTAACACTCACAGGAACATGAAAAACTGGGTGTGTGGGGGGCGTGTGGAGGGAAGGCAGTGGAATTAAACCTGTATTTTGCATTAGAACCAGGTAAGTATAATTTGAAATAGACTGCAGAGAATATTCAGAAAATAAGAAGCAACAATAGTTGAGAGGAATTTGCTCTCTGTATATGTGATTTGTCTCTAAGGGGCATGGTATTGATCTGCCACGGAGCAATGCAGCTGAACAAAACCAGAGAAATGCTCACCCTCTGAGGATTTTGTTTTTTTCAGCTCAACATAAGCTTGATCCAAATATATGCCTACCCAAATTAAACAGACAACACCCCCTCTGGCTGCAGTGTGCTCTACATTAAATGCTGGCATTAACTGCCATGTGCTAATCATCGAGAAATGCCATTCAGACACAGGTCCTTGCTATCCACCACTTGCAAACCCACAGCAGCAAAATCACAAAAAGAACCTGCTTTGTTTGGAGGGAGATGAAGCCTTCCAATACACCTCTAACCTTATGCTGGCTCCCAGGACAGCAAAAACATTTTTATTAGGCAGCAGCCATGTGGTGATTTGTGTGACACAAGCTCCAGAGCCCAGCAATCATTCTCCTAATACACCTGTGCACTGACAGGTAATGCAAAAGGCCAGCATGGCCCGATGACCTCCCTCATCCTCCCAGGAAGCAGTATTTTAATAGCAGGCAAACAGACTGCACTCATGGTTTCACTACCTGCACTTGGTCTGAGAAGAGTGAAAACTTCAATCTCAAGAGCTGTAAACACCACAAACACTACAAATGTTGTAAAATAAAGCCACAATGGCCTTTTTTATCACTTTGGCCCATGTCACCCCTGAAGTGCTTAGCAAACACACCTTCATATGGAAATGTACTAATTTGTCCCAGGTCTAGTTAATGAAGATTTGTAAGTATGCAAGTCATTTTTGCTCAGGGAAGATGCTGTAGGTTTCTCAGTCTATTTTACTAATTTCCATCTTCTCCTATGTGAACTACCACTCACCATTCAGCAATTTGTTTTCATACCAACATTAGAAAAGCAAAGGAAAACAAAGACCCTCATGGAGAAAGGTTGTTTCCTAAAAAGAGATTGTATAGAATACAATTGTATACAATACAATATAAAATACAGACCTCAACAGGTCTGTATTTTAAAAGGCAACCTTGTTGTAGCCTATGTTGCATTTATAGGGCTTTTTGAAGCTAGGTGTCATGAAACAATTTGCTGTCTTTAAAGAGAGCACTTACCCAAGAGAATAGAGACGGCACTGCTTGCTTCTGATTCGATGAATGAGGCTAAACCTCTCGTCAAGACATACAGACCAGGGCTTCTTTGCAGTTTCAGAATGCCCTCTCAGGCTGTTCAGGTTCATGTGCTCACATGAAATCTGTTGAAATCAAAGGATGTTTCATTTTAAGGCAGGACTTTTAATTTGTTTTTAATTTGCCTTCTGGGGAAAGAGTGGAAAGAAGGAAAATGTTAATTGGTTTTATTTAAATCTGTTTGTCAATCTGATACATGGCTATGGAGATGTGATGATTTTTTTTCCCCTGATCATCTGTTCTGCTTTGTGAAATTTGAGGTTTACATAACGCCCCAGTTAGCAATGCAATTTGAAAAGCAAATAATTAAGCATTAGCACTATATCCAAAATCAATTTTCCCAAGAAAATTTCTTTCAGCATTAAAATTATTATTTATTTTTCTTTTCAAACCTTGGAGTGGATTCTGCATCCTGAATAATGCTAAAATCATGTCACAATTCAAGCCTGTAATCTCAAGTTGCAGTGTCACTGCAACGTACACTGTATACCTTATCTAAAGCATCCTCCATCTCAGTTCCAGAAGGGATTTGATCATTAACCCAACACATCCCCTCTCCAACAACAAACGGATTTAAGCAAGTGCTTAACTGAACAGAGAAATCATCCTCCTCTGCAGGGATGAACACTGCAAGTCGAAGTCCTCATAAAGACAAAAAAGCAAGGACTTAACATGCTGGATTCTTCAGAAAACTGGAAGTGTCAAAAATCACTCAACTGAGAGGTGAAGTCAGCTTTGCCAGCAGCTGAGCAGCAGCCTGCAACAGCCAAAACACAGCAGTGACCAAGCCAGTGAACCTATGGCTTTCGTGGAGTGAGTGACACCCCCAAAGGAGCCTGTGCCTGCAGCACCAGGTCTGCCTGTCCATATCTGTCTGGTAAAAAGGTAGGCATGGGGCTGAGGTGTGCTGCAACCTTTCCAACATTCAGGAGCCAGGGCACATCAGGCAATGGAAAGCCAGTGAAATGTGTACAGCTGCCACCACAGCAGCAGTAAGCCGGTAGCAGGGACAAGAAGCACCAAAGCTGTGGCTGCTTCTGCCCAGGAGAGGCTGGGCTGCACTGCATCAGCACCTGCTTACAGGTGGTTGTCAAAGGGTTTTTCAAACAATGTACAGCCTGGCCAGCAAATTTAGAGGTTGCAGGGCACCTGCATAAGGATGAGAACATGCAGATAGGAAAGCAGAGACTGAGAAGAGCTGCAGGAACACAGCCGAGCCATCATGACAAAAAATTGTTCTTTAGGCCTAGTACCAATCTTGGCTGCAGGGATGGGAGCTGGCACTGCCAGAAAGCCAACAATAAAAATGGTGTAAAGAACACTAGTAGAGACAAAACCAGGTTACACATCAGTCCTGAACTGACTGTTCTCATCCTGCTCCTTCTTTCCTCTACAGCAGCCTGCCTAGGCTCAGCTCCTGGTTTTAGCCAAACTAAAAAGCACATGTCTAACCCCACCTAGAACCACAGAAATGGATCAATTTTACACAGGGGTGGAGTAAAAACTGGAAGGCAGCCTTTGCTGTGTCAGGCACACCATGTGCCTTATTATAAGTAAATAAAACTCTCATTCTTTAACAATCTTAAGCTGTGAAAGATCATTACCTGGAGAATTACATCCAAAAAGCTGCATGCTGCATCACTGCCTCCCTGCTCCTGCTCAGCTCATAATTCCCATGGAAAATTCATAAAAGCTAATATAGCATCTCTTCCTGCTGCTCTCAGAATTCACTAAGTTTTAAGTAATGATTTGCACTGCACCCCATTACCCATTTCCCTTCAGTTGCAGAACAACCAAGGAATAAATGGCATTACAATAACAAGCACTAATTTTAAGACACAGAAGAATAATGTGCTCTCTACAGAGAACTAAGATTCTACAATGATGCCACTTAATTGGCTCATGACATTATGAGCAATTACAACACTCAGAAGTTGGAGCAATTTTTAACAGCTCTTGTTACCTAGTAGCTCTTGCTACCAAAAATTAAAAATAAAATAAAATAAAAAGCACAGAACTCTGCCTTCAGCACTATCATCAGCCTGCTGCATGATTTACCGGCCCTGATGCTCTGAGCTCACATCCTGTTCTGGGCTTTTACTCACTACCACCGTACAAATAACACTGTTCTTCCGATCATTAGATACCAGCATTGAAGAAGCTTTTCCTGGATACACCCCAACCCTACCGACGTGGCATTTCCCCCCTCCAGCAGTTTGAGACACCCTACACTAATGACAGGCAGCTGAACTCAGGCACAGTAATTAGTAAACACTTGCTCAGCAAACAAGGAAAATGAGATCTCATGCTCATCTACATAAGATGATCCCATTTCCAGAAGTGCTCTAACCAATCGTGGTGTTATCCTGCCAGTTATTAATCTATAAAATCTTCCAGGTCAGGAATGAGGATTTGTCTCTTTTTTTGTTTTCACTTATGTTTGTGTGTTCCCCTCCACGGTCAGTTACTCTGGGAACAAAACTTCTTGGTTAGTGTGTCAGAAGCAATAAACTCTCTACTAATTGATGCCCTTGTAGGCTTTGACCCAACTAGAGGAGTTTAGCAGCATCTGCCACAGTTTATTAAGTCACCAAGAAGGGCATTTTGAGCTTAACATGCTTCCATGACATAAACTTCTATACAACAGAACAAGGAGCTCTACACACATCTCTTGCCGTCTCCATACCCGTCATGTTGCCTCCTGCCCTCTCAGTGCTGGCATGAGTGAAGGCAGAGATGTCATTTTCTTGAGGATTTAGCCAGGAGTACCCACTGGAAAGAAACTGGAAGCTAAGTGATCACACTGCTTCCCTCACAGTTACCACACCATCAGCAGAGCAGCATATTTTTAGATGTGTTTCAAATGAATCACATCTCAGCCTTGAAAGCATTGCATTAACAAAGAATTTCATATGTGAATGATATATCGGTGACATGAACACCTGAGGCTTTTTTCTGTTCTCCAGAGTAAGCAATGGTGCAGCTAAATCTGCATTCACAGGTCAACAGCTGATAGGCCTGGGTACCAAAAGCAGACACCCTGTCAGAATTATCAGCATTCAGCACCTTTTCCATTTTTTATTACCCAAAATGCATCCACAAATGCTATTGTACAGAAGTGATGCCTCCATTAAGATATGATGGCCCAATTTCCACATATGCTGAACTCTGGAAGCATCTGTCAACACAATCTGGATTTGGAAATGTCACCATTGAAAAAGCACATAAAACCACTAATTTTCCAGGTCATCATTTTTGCCCTTAAAATATAAGGATTCTGCTGGGACAATTTGTCCAAGTTAGGGACTGATGCCCTGTTCTCATTTTACTGGAAACCTCATTTTACTGGGAACTTCAAATAAATCCTTTTTAGCTAAAATGAGCCTGGTTATCTTATTGAGAAGTGGAGTGGCTGAATATGCAGTTCTCTCATTACAGAGTGCTCTCTACTTTTCGACGTCTGAGAGAGAAGAACCACGTCTGGAATTTCACCTCCACTTGTCAGGACACAAACCCATTTGGAAAGCAAGGAAATAATGCATTATTTCTACCTGGTTTTGACCTTTACATTCATGTTGAATGTCAGTGCTAGGTTAACATTCTACACTATAGAAATAAAGCATTTTCAAAACCAATCTGGTGTGAGGTTAACTCCTTATCTGAGCAGGAACAGCCCATGCCAGACAAGCTGTTTTCTAGATGGAGACTGAAATGAAAAACCTACCTGAGAAGTGCTAATGTATTTCAGGAACCTCAAGGCCTCATTGTCGAGGGAAGTAGTTGGACTTGCCCATGGTTGTAGCTCTATGTGCCATTTTACAGTCTGCAAAGCAAAGCAAAAAAACACCTTAAAGGAACAGGATTCATTTCTCAGTACAAGGATAAAATGCAAGGGCAAATAAATTGAGGAGATTTAATTTCAAACAAAAAGAGTTTCCTAGGGGCTTGCCTACACATCAAAGTGTTTCAGAATAAAGAAGAGTTTGAACTATGGTGAAAGAGCATCTAATGATAATTTATCATGATTGGCTTTGAAAGCAGATGTAGGTAATTAGCAAGAAAGGGCTCTTCATCCAGGCTACATATGTCAACACAGTTATTCTAGGACACCCAAGTAAGCCCTGGCTTGCAGAAACACATGGAGAAAACCAAGATTTGAATAACTAAATCCTCTAGCAAAACAGTGAAATAATTTTATATCTATTGCGTATCTCTGCTTGAATGTCCACTGAAACAAGAATTTGGATTGCAAACACAAATCACCAAAGAAACCTCTGCAAACAATCTGATTCTTAAAATCTAGATTTGATGGAAGAGCCAACTTTTTGCAGTCTTTGACCAAAGTCCTCTTCCAGTCCAACACCTGCCTGACAAGATACACCAGAATTCCTTGTTTTACAGAAAAAAAAAGGTCAGTGTGGCTGCCCGGAGCCCTACCACTCCTTATTTTCTTAGCCAGTAGGAAGCAGCTTTGGTGGATGCTTTCTGCACTCCCTGCGAGCCCCCTCAGCTCTGAACCCTGGAGATCCTGACAGCTTTTCCAGCAACACTTCCCACATAGACAGAGCGGGACAGAAGAGGTCTTTCAGCACGTGCTTGCAGAGCAACAGGGATCTGTGCTCTCATTTGTGCCACCTTCTCCAAGTTGTGCCTCCTTTTGTCACACTAGGAAGCTTAGACACGTTATCTGTTGCCCTGAAGTAGATAAAAATACAAGCACAGTGTTAAATTGTACTAAATTAAGATTGATTCCTCATGGCTTTTCTTCCTCAGGTGCCATAACTCACTTCCATGTCTGGGCAGGTACTATCAAGCTTCCCTTTAATCATCCCCAATTAACTGAGCTTCCACAACAAACAAGATCAGGTTTTTACCACATGGGTTCATGTCGACATTCAGTAACATGCAAACAGAAACACCATTCCAATTCTCACAGGACCTTATTTCAAAAGAAGCCCTGGAAACATACAGGAAATGGCAATTAACCACAGAGGATGGAGGCAGATCAGAGGGGCGGGATGCTGAGCTCCCAGACAGGACTGGTCTGCAGCACCAGGAGAAAAGGAGTGGTGACAGTGGGGATCCTCCAACACCAGAAAGGAACGCAGGAAAGAAAGAGAAGGCAAAACTAGAAAAGAAAGATGTTCAAAGAGGACACCAGACCTGATGAGTTTGCCTTCAGCTGGTATCATGAACTGGCATTTTTGCAGCCTAAGTAAACACAGTCTGATGTGAACCAGGAGGGCTGTATGAGGTTCATTGTATCTTTAAGGTTTGCTCTTTGGGTTGGTTTGGGATTTTGTTTAGTTTGGTTTGTTTTTTTTTTTTGTTTGGTTGGGTCTTTTTTGTGTGTGTTTTGTTTAGTTTGTTGGGTTTTTTTTATGTTGTACAGAGATGCTGAAAGAGACTTCTTTTTTCCCCAAAAGCATATGAAAGTAGCATTTCCCATCCTGAAACTTGCTGCCTACAGGAAACGTGGGCTCCTATACTGTGTACAGCACAAGGCTGGAGCAAGCTAGCAAGAAAGCTCTGCAGCAGCATGTACCCCTGACCCACCGATTGCAGATAGCAGGCTGCAAACAGCTAACAGCAGGAGGACATGTGCACGCTGGGGAGGGAAATGCGCGTAATCTTTCGGAATGAGTCACAGTTCACACGGCTGAATAACGTTTGCAATGACAGGAATGCTGCCGTTTCAACAGGCTTGAAAGCTGAAACAAAAATGAAGACTGACAATCATTTTCTGGGGCAAAAACCCCCACCAAAACAGACACCTAAACATCTGTGCCCAGTTATTCTGAAATCTATTTGTGTGAGAAGTAGCTCATTAAGTAGGGGAATGGCAGGGTGTCCATTGTGGCACTATTCAGCGAGAATATTCTGCACAGAGTTGATGGGGAAGAAAAAGAAAAAATCCCTATAATTAAGCATGTGAATGAGGTTCTTATTCAGCAGAGTGCAATATCTGAGAGCTACTGCGGCTTACTCTCAGGTTCTTAAAATTTTAAACATGACAAACCAAACTGCCTTCCCACTAACTCCAAAATGTATCAACAAACACAGGAAAATTAAGATTAAAACCCCACTGACACAATAACGCAGTTTCACTAAAAAAAAAACAACAACAAAAAACCAACAAACAAAACTCAACAACAACAAAAAAAAAACACAAACCCCCCCAAAAACCCCACCCAAAACCAAAAAACAAACAAAAAACACAAAAAAAATGGAAAGAGATCAACCTTTTATATAGTTCTTTAAATTTAGGAGCACTATATAGATGCTGCTTTTCTGACAGAGATCAGAGCCAAGCTCCTGTTTGACAGCAATGCTTTTGAATAGCTTCTCAAACTTTACACTTGGTCCCTGGCTCCTTATTAAGCAGCAGCTTATTTTCAATCACTAATGAATACATTAGAGAGGTCTGTTCCTCTAAACCTACTAAACACCCCGTGGGTTGTTTCAATAAGTGTTTTACAATACGATGCACAGACACTGAACTGGGGTGAAAATACAGTACATCTCTTGGACTAGGTACACCCTCCCAGCAGGAAACTCACTGGTGTCAATGATGCAGTAGGGGTATCTTTAGGACTCACAGAATATCCTCCTGAAGGAGCCACTCCTTATGTACACCAGTAGCCTTTGTTTATAGCTTTTCAGGTAACTTTCAGCCTCTTCCACAGTGTTTCCATATAAGCCTTCTCAAATAACTCTACAGCTAAGATGTACCTGGCACCCCTGAACCAACTGCTTTGTGAAAATCAGTTTTTTTCCTGATAAACACATGTTCATTATTCTGAGAAGTTTTTCCTCTCTAGACTTAGCAATTTTATTTACTCAAAGCAAACATAACTGATTCGGATTTTCTCACTTGCATCACAGAAACCTCCAGAGTAAATAGCTAACAGCATGTCCCTGTGGCTGTTGCACAAAACAGGCTCAGAAGCAGCTGCTTTTATAGGTGGCTTCTACAGCAAGTACAGAAGAGGAGCAAAGGAGGTATTACAGTCCATATTATACAGCTTTGGATATGACATTCAGACAGATCTCCCTAGAGTCACCCAGGAGGACCCAGAAAACTCGTGCAGATGTTCTTCATCTCTGGCTATTGTCATCAGTGTGCTATCTCCCCAGGGTAAGGGCTCATCCAGTGTGTCAGCATGACTGTTTCCCAAACACCAGCATATCCTAATTCCACGATATTAAGAGATGACAGTACCTAGAAAGTTACAACACCACATACAAAACATCATACTGAACATCTTGAAGTATTCCTCTATATACATTGTTTTGCTTACGGACATGTTACCTGAAATTAGTATTGTAAGAAAAACAAGTCTTCAGCAAGACTCTATCACAGGCACTGCTCAGACACTGATTTCAACTACCCCAGAAGGGTAACAGATATCCAGAAACTGTTACCCAGCATGATGTCTAAATTTTCACATGAGATAACCACAGAGCGAAAGAAAATCTTCAGGCTATGTCACTGCTGTTTTAGAAAAACTACGATGCATTTGAAGGTCTGTTTTTTCTCCCAGGTACTATACACTTCAGGACAAGGACTGACGTTTCCTTCACAGCCCAACCTGACAGTAATCTCAGTGACTTTTCTCTGGAAACCACTTCTGTTTAGATTTTTCTCTCTCATCTGATAGTCATCTGATAATCCCTTAATGAACTAGGATACATTCTTTATCCTAAAACTCTGAAATAATAATATAAAGTTTAGATCAACATGTGTAAAAGGCTCACAATCCAGCAGGTGTAAAATTGTAGATCTGCAAAATTTCTGTCTTTTCTAGCATAAACTTGAACACATGAATAATGACATTCCTTCTAGATCAATCCTAGTTTCAGGACATTAATCCAAAGAGCCAAATCCCTCTCTTCCCTTCTGCTTAACTCTGAAAGGGATTTTTTTACCCATTTTTACTTGTAATTACTTATATTATTAAAATTTACTGAAGTTTTACATAATTCCATCTTTAACTCAGTAACTGTTTTTTCTCTCCTTTAAACCTCCCTCATTTTTAGCATCTTATTAAAGAAACATATTGGCCATGATTATAATTTGGGAATCCCATTGCCCTGCAAAGCAGTCTGTTGCTTCCAAATGATAAACAAAACACTTGTCTATACATACACAGATGTCTTAATCAAGGTAAAAATAGAAAATCCTCTGATAAAACCGTGCAACAATGATTTTTCACATTTGAGGCAGGACCAAACATGAGTGGAAAGCATTCATGGCAATAAGCTCCAATAGCCATAAACATGTGCTAGCCATAGAAACAAATTACATAAACATCCTCACACCTCCAACTGTTCTGACTTTACTCTGTGTATCATCACGCTCACCCCCTGTGGAAGGGTACAGCAGAACAGAGCTTGCTTGTGGGTGAAATTTCACAGAGCTTTTGTATGAGTTTAAAATGCAGTGGGTGGGATTCAAATTGCAAGATTTCAGACATCTACAAGGCAAATGTGTATTTACTGGAGTGAACCCCTGAAGAGAGTGGATTGTCCCTAGATATGATCTGGGGCTTAGGACATCATTGTATTTAAGACTCCCTCTGGAGCACCTGTGGCTTTAAGCATATTATTTTGCAGTGGTTTTGTTGTTTTGTTTCCCCCCACCCCAATTCAAAAGAAGCTTAAATAGTGAAAGCAGCATGCTGCAGCCCACCCAAGTACTGGCTTTATGGGATATGCCAGCACGCCTCACGAGAGACACGCAACAAGTGCAAAGCCTGCCGAGATGAGTGGGAGAGCTCCTGCAGATGGAGGCGGCCAAACCTGGCATGCTGCTCCTCTCAC